GATAAAAAATAAGGAGGCGACTCTAAGTCTTTAATTATAAGTCTTATTAGACACTTAAGTGGAACCTTTTATAGACTAATCTTTGTCCACTAAAAACCAGGTACCACAGGTGACTAATGTTGTCATGTAATTATACCATAACCCCATTCAATATAAAGAATTTTAAAGATTATTATTCCATTCTCCATTTAATTTCTAATTAATTGTGGGTCTTTCTAATTTATCCGTTTAATGGAGTCACCAAAGCTCTACTTCATTTGGGGGTAATAAGGTAAACAAACATTTTGAGGGGTATAATGGTCCATGCACTATTCATAAAAATAATCTTCTACTTTTTATGAGGTAGGGATTTGATTCCTTTCTCTCAACTAGTGTATCCAACATGAATCATATATTTTATTATTTAAAATTATATCTTCTCCAATTCTCTCATTTACTATTACATTTTACTATTTTTTTATTCTTCCATCTACTCCACTACCTCCTTATTTTATTCAATTTCTCGTAAAATTGTGCACATCAAAAGATAGCACAAGTAATTAAAAACAAAAGGAGTGCAATAGTAAATGAACTTTTGCAAAGAATTACCATTTAAATGACGAGTTTTGAGAACAACTACCATTTAAAACATTTTTTTTTTTGAAAAAAAACTACATATCACAAAAACATAAAAAGTTTGAGTAGCATTACCTTATCAATTTCCCAGATAGAATATCCGAATGTGGAACCCACCAATTAGTATTTCCCTCCAAAAATTATTTCTCTCTCCTTAATTTATAACTGGTAATCTTCGTTTCTCCTTTTTATTTATGATAAAAAATTAAAACCCTAATCTCTTCATGGTTGAAGTCAATTAATTGCTATAAAAACATAACAAATAATGAGTAAAGAACCATAGATTGGATAATACAGAACAATTGCCTCCAATCCCCTATTTCAAAAACCCCCAATTTCAATTTTTTTCCATTAACCCTAATTTGAAAATTCAATTGAGAAATTGTGTCAATTACAAGGCAAATTAGATATACATTATCTTTAATTGAGTTCGCCAAATAATTTTGCTTTTTCTCTCGCCTTGAATCGATTGAAATGAAGAGATTAGGGCCCCACAGCTGAAGATTCTAGTTGGAAAGTTTGATAAGGTATTGCTACTCCCGCTAAAAAAAAAGGGTATTGCTACTCAATTTTTTTTTATTTTTTTTTTTGAAAAAATGGAAACTAATAATCCCACCTTTGTCACTTCTGCTCAAAACAATTCCACCTTTTCGAATTCCCAAAACAATCCCACTTTTGACCCCCATCTTCTCAAAATGAGCCTTTTACCGGTTTGTGAAATGGGTAACTTATTTTAGTAGGTCACTTGCCATGTATCACCTTCTGATTGGTACAATTTTAATTTTTGCAATTAAAAAAAACAAAAACAATAAAATAATTTTTTTTTAAAAAAAACCCCACCCAACCTAGCCTCGTCGGACCCCACGCAACCACCACCCTAGTCGCCGCCAGCCAGCCACCAACCTCGACGAACACCTAAGAAACCACCACCCTAGTTGCCGCCCCGGTCTTTACCATCTAAATCACCATCCCCTCTCCCCGAAACCCTCACGCAACCACCAATTTCACCCCAAAAATCACCGCCCTACCGCTAATTCCCCCTCCCCCTGCACTGCTAAATCCCCTTCCCCCTTGCGCCGCTAATTCCCCTCCCTACAATGTAATTGCTGGGGTTCGTGGTGGGTTTTGTGGCTTGCTTAGGTGTTCGTGGGTTGGGGGGTTGCTTAGGTGTTTGTGGCTACGGCTGAGGTGGCTGCGGATGGGGTGGATGGGGTGGCACATGGGTTGGCTGGGCTTCGTGGGTTGGTGGGTTTCGTGGGTTGGTTGGGGTTCGTGGTGGGTTTTGTGGGTTGGTGGGTTTCATGGGTTGGTTGGAGTTTGTGGTGGCTGGGGTTGGTGGGGTTCGTGGTGGCAAGGGTTTGTGGTGGACGGGTTTCGCGTGGGTTGGCTGGGTCATGGTGGATGGGGTTCACGTGGGTTGGCTGGGGTTTGTGGTGGCTTGGGTTCATGGGTTGGTGGGTTTCGTGGTGGCTAGGGGTTCCGGGTTCGTGTTGGCTAGGTTCCGTGGGTTGGCTGGGGTTCGTGGTGGCTAGGGTTGGCTGGGGTTTGGTGGTGATGTGGTGGTTAAGGGTGGTGGTGGTTATGGTGGATAGCTAAGGTGGGAGATGAGAGATTGAAAAAAAAAAGTTAACCTGTTAAACAAGTTGTGGGTTAAAAGGCTTATTTTGAGAAAATGGGGTCAAAAGTGGGATTGTTTTGGGAATTCGAAAATGTGAGATTGTTTTGAGCAGAAGTGGTAAAGGTGGGATTATTAATTTCTATTTTTTTTTTAAAGTTTTAAATGATAGTATTCTCAAAACTCGTCATTTATATTACGAGTTTTTTTTTTTAAGGAAAACTCGTCATTTATATGATATTCCCAAAATTGGACGTTTTTCCAAAGTGAGCCAATTTTGGCAAATATTAACCAAAATGGTTGTGTGGCAAAAGTATTTACCAAACTAAGCTTCCAGGCTAAAACGCTGTCTCGGTCAGCGTTTTATGCCTGGGTTTTTTTTTAAAAAAAATCAACCTAAAAACGCTGTCTGGGACAGCGTCTTTGTTGTTGACCTTTTTTTTAAAAAAATTTTGTAATTGCCTTTTATTTATAAAAATGTTTTTAAAAAACAAAAACAGTTATACCAAAGATGCTGTCCCAGACAGCGTTTAACTCTGGAACTATAAACGCTGTCTCAGACAGCGTTTAAGGTTATTAATAAAACGCTGTCTGAGACAGCGTTTCTGTCGTTTTTTTTTTCCTGCAACAGCGTATTTCATCCTTTCATTTCCTCCTCCTTCATTCTCAAACCCCTTCTTTCCCAAACTCTAACTTAATCCCCCTCTCTCTCATACTTGTGCTCCTCTGTATAGACCGCCACCTCCACCGTCGCCCGCCGTCACCTCCACCGTCGCCCTCCGTGTAGCCCACTATACACTCCCCTCACCCTGAAATAGGTATTCATTCAACTTTCTTTGTGTTTTAAATTCTAGGGTTTATGTTGGTGATTTCTAATTTTTTTGGAATTGGGTTAAAATGTTGATGAGGTTGAGTTGTTAGTGTTAAAAATGTTGAATTGTTAGTGTTGGTATTGTTGAATTATTAGTGTTGGTAATTGTTGAATTGTTAGTGTTGATAATGGTAGTGTTGATATTGTTAGTGTTGATAATAGTTTGGATAATGTTGAACTGTTGTTGTTGGTTTTGTTGAAAATTGTTGACAATGGTTGATAATTATTAGGTTTTGAACAATTGTAATTACCTACATTGTTGTGTAATAATGGTGATTTAGGGGTTCTTAGTAGTTAATTTGTATAGTATGTAAAATTTTTTTGTTTGATTGTGGTGATTTAGGGATGATTTAACGGCTTTACGTAAAATGTGTTTGGTTGTTATGTAGAATATGGCTGGACAAAATGTAGCGTTGTTATGTCGATGGGGAGGTGAAATTTTGTGTAATGGATCAAATGTGGAGTACAATGAAGGGAATATGGACCTTATAACACTTGAACCGAACATGACTGTGACTGATCTGATGAATGAGGTTCACAGTTGTATTGGTTCAAACCCTATGACTGTTGAACTGAACCTTAAAATGAGGTGTGATACTGGTCATGGGGTGCAAGTGTTACCTGTCTCTACGAACAAACATTTGAAAGGTTTGAACAGACAATGTGCTGAAAGGAGCTCGGTTTCTACCGATTATGTCCCTTGTTGAGTTAACCTTCCACAGAGTTAACAAGTATTTCACTTTGAGAAGGGAGTCTTCTGAGGCTAGGTCTGATCAGGGACTTCCATACCCCCAAAGGTCACTGCCATCCTCGAGAAGAACACCGCTAAAGCCAGATATCATAGAGTGCATGCCTATAACCGGCGATTGCATATTTACCAAGTGACAACAGAGAGGGGGGAGAGAGTTGGTAATAAAGGAGGCCACAAGCATACGGTGAACTGGCAGTTGAGAACGTGTACGTGCAACAAACCGAAGATATTCCACCTCCCATGTTCTCATGTGCTAGCAGTCTGTGCTACATACTCACTATCAGAACGGCCTTGGGTGGACCCTCTATTGCAGTCGGCCGCCTACATGAACACCTATGCACCACAGTTCTGGCCGATCCCCTGCGAGACAACCTAGGCACAGTGGGCACAGTACGTAGGCCCTAAACTCATTCCGGACGGCACAATGATACATGGAAAAGGTCGTCCAAAGTCGAAGCGCATACGCAATGAGATGGATGACAGCAACCGGCCCCCAACCAAATGCAGCTGTTGTCACCAGCAAGGTCACAACCGTATGAGCCGGCGACGGTCTATACGGAGGAGCACAAGTATGAGAGAGAGGGGGATTAAGTTAGAGTTTGGGAAAGAAGGGGTTTGAGAATGAAGGAGGAGGAAATGAAAGGATGAAATACGCTGTTGCAGGAAAAAAAAACGACAGAAACGCTGTCTCTGACAGTGTTTTATTAATAACCTTAAACGCTGTCTGAGACAGCGTTTATAGTTCCAGAGTTAAACGCTGTCTGGGACAGCGTCTTTGGTATAACTGTTTTTGTTTTTTAAAAACATTTTTATAAATAAAAGGCAATTACAAAAATTTTAAAAAAAAGGTCAACATTAAAGACGCTGTCCCAGACAGCGTTTTTAGGTTGATTTTTTTTAAAAAAAAAAACCCAGGCATAAAACGCTGACCGAGACAGCGTTTTAGCCTGGAAGCTTAGTTTGGTAAATACTTTTGCCACGCAACCATTTTGGTTAATATTTGCCAAAATTGGCTCACTTTGGAAGAACGTCCCCCAAAATTTTGAATAATAAAAAGGATTTGACAAACATATATGGATAGAGATAAAGAGGTTTTTTTTTCGTAAAAAAAAAAAAAAGATAAAGAGTTTAGTCCGTAATTATTTATAATATCAAGAAAGGACCTGTTAGTTCTCTGTCCGAGTCTTTTGTCGTCTTCTCCAATTCTCTGTCTTTCTTAATTACTCTGTTATACTCATCAACTGCTTAGTGTCATACCATCTACAGTAACCCAACTACTCTCCCAAGAGCCAAACCTTCGAACTTGTCACCCACTCTTCAATTTCCTGTGCCTCAGATTTTATACCGATTTACTGTAAGTTTCAGCCTTAATTTCTTACTTATTTATACAAATTTTCAGCTAATTTAATCATATACTCTTTTGGGTATTTGATTTTTTGTAACTTGGTTAATGGGTGTCTAGTAAATAATAAATTTATCCAACTTTGGCTTTAATTTCCTTGAATTTTACACTGGTAGTTGATTTTGTTAGTTGGGTTTTTTTTTTAATTGGTTACTGTTGGTGAGCTTTCTTTTAATTACTATCTGGAATTTTTGGGTTACTAATTAATTTTGCAAGATCTGTTATAATTTTACTTTATGTTTGATTGCCATTTATGCATGCTGTATATAGTTTCTTATGTATCTTCTGTGTTGGTTTTATTGGGTTATTCAGTTATTTGGACTCCACAATTCAAGCCTTTCAAGGTGTTCAGTTAGGTTTTGGGGATATAATTTGGTATTTGTTTCGGAATTGGGTTGATTATTATAATGTTATCAGGCTGCTTCACTTACTGTTTGATCCCATGTTTTTAATGCCATCATTGTACTTGAGGCTACGTTGGATACTCACATTAGCTTCAATATCTGATTGATGTAGCTTCAATATCTGATTGATGTACTATCACTGATTAAAATATTGTTCTTAACGAAACCTTCCGAAAACCAACTTCCTTTTTAGTTTGTTTTCAGAAGGTTTCTCTCAAGAGCTATATAGGAGGGGTTTAGAATTATGTTTGTATTCCAAGCATTGATCTGCTTGCTTCAAAGTGGTATTCTTTATCGTCAATACATGATGAAGAAAAAGGATCCAAAAGTATTATTGCAATTCAGCTGTTGCTGATTTGAGGGTTTTTCTGCTTGGCATTTCCATTGTTAATACATGTTTTTCAAATCATAAATTAATACTTGCAAATTTTTCAATTGTTTAGAGTGTTAGCCTAATTTACTCGTGTAAGTTGAGATGAAAAATCCCTTTAGAACTACTCCACAGTCCACAAGATACTATTTTGGCTATTATTATATATGTGAATTTATTTATAAATATTTAAAAGAAACCCTGACATGTTCTTAATTGTTTTTTAGTAGGCTGACTAGATTCTTCTAGTGCCATCATGGCACCATTGGACTAGCCTTCGCTCATAATCCGTACTCATTTGATGATGTAAGCTGATTTCCCATATTTTATGCATAATTTAACTGTTGCAGAATGTAAGAAAGTCATGCTATGGCAACTTTAATAGTTGAATTCAAATGGCTAAATAGGACATTTCTGTAATTTATATATTTCTTGCTGGGGTTTTTATTAGGCTGTTTTTGGAAGCAAAAATTTTAAAGCCAAATTTGGTAAGTGATTGTAGATAGCAGTATTGGCATTGAACTCAATGCTTTAGATTCTGTATCGAGTGGTAGTGAATTTATGAAGGAAAGCACATGCTTGGGGACGAGGTTCCATTAGACCAATGCCATGAACACTGGAATGTGACTATATTTAGAAAGCATCGTAATAATTCATAATTATCATCACTGTTTGTTACAACTGATCAACAGGCCATTAGAGTAATGCAAAACTTGGTGTTTATGATTTATAAAATAAGTTATTTGTTTCTCGTCTTTTAGAACTCCCATTCCAAATTCTTGGCTACTCAGCTTTCATCTTGATCTTAATCATAGTTGTTTTGTTCTGCAGAAAAATATAATACACAGCCCGTGTCTGCCTGATATTGAACAATGAGTGCAGCTAAAGTGAAGCGTGTAGTTGGAAAGTATGAGTTGGGAAGGACAATTGGGGAAGGAACATTCGCCAAAGTAAAGTTTGCTAGAGATTCTCAAACTGGGGATCCAGTGGCTATTAAAATTCTTGACAAAGAGAAAGTTCTTAAGCACAAGATGTCTGAACAGGTATTAATTTGCTTAATTACTCTTTCTGTTGTCCCTCAATCTCTTGTTTTAATTCTCTATATTTTCGTGTTCTGTCTTAGCAAGCTTTTATTTCATATTGTTTTTTATGTGTTTATCTTTATAATTCATTTCAGCTGTTATTTGCATGAATTGAATATTGCAACAGATTTGAAACATGCCCCCTCTCCTTTCCCCAACCCCCAAAATAGAGAAGACAAGGGAAAGCTACTGAATCTAAAGTATACTTTATTTGCGATCTTCCTTGTTAGTATTTCACTTGTATATAACACAACCGTAATATGGTTGGTATCTTGATTATCTCTCTGCCTTTCACTTCCCTTCATAGGAAGACTATTTTTTTCCCTCTAATTTTGTACAAAATATTCTTGTTTATAATAACCTTAGGAGTGTAAAAGAGATGACATGGTGAGCCAAGAGCATGTTCAAGCTCACTCGTTTAGTTTGTTATAGTGTTCGTGAATGGTTCATGAACAACTTCTTTCTTAATGATCCGAGTTCATTTTTAAGATTTGTGCTTTCGATATTTGGAAATCTCAAATCAAATCAAATAATGTAAATAAACATTCTTGAATAGTTTTAGATTAAAATATATACCCTAATTGATTAATTTTGAAACAACAAACAAGCTTTTCCATTGACAAAATATTTTTTTTTAATTTTTTTTTCCATTATAAAAATAAATGATAACCAAGTTGTTCATGAACTTATATGAATGAGTGTACCTTTTTCCGTGTTCAAGTTCAATTCATTTGTTTGATAAACAAACATGAATGAGCTTTGGCTGAGATCAAAATTGCTCACTTAGTTTTCCCTAGGTAAGTGAAATTTGTGCCTTAAGTTTCTACTTCCTGGAGTCAGCCAAGAAATTTTTAGACACGTCCATGGAAATGAAACTCCAGAGGATCATTTTGCCTGGACTTCTTGCATCCACTTACTGACCAACTTGTGTTTACAGACATTAAACATCAATTTTAATTGTTGCAATGCTTTAACTTGCAGATAAGGCGGGAAATAGCTACCATGAAGCGAATAAAGCATCCACATGTAGTTCGCTTGTATGAGGTCTCTCTCTCTCTCTCTCTCTCTATTATAGAGGAGAGTTTCTATTCTTTATATGGCCTTATTGCAGTACGTTTTTAACAGAGGTTATTACTTTCTCTGCCCCTAGATCATTTTGTAAATGCAAAGCCAGACAGGAGTCAGGAGTTTTAAACGAAAGTTTGTGTTTTTTAGTTTTTAGAGTTAATATATCTCTTAATTATCAGCTATCTATATAGAAGTCGACATCAGAGTTTTGTTCATTTAGGGAAGATCATTTAGTCAGGAATACCTATCTTAGTATATCTATTTTACCTATTGTAGTATTTATTGCTCTTTTGATTTTTAATTTTTTTTAAATTTCAGTGAAGGTTAAGGTCCTTGGGAACTTTTTATTTTCTTTTGGTTTGGGTTTGTGATTCTCATGGGGTTCTGATATTACTTTATAGAGTGTGCAAATTTTTTGCGTACTAGACTGGGTGTAATTCGCAAGTGTTCTTGTAAGATTGAAGGAATAGTTGGGCAATTATTATCTGACTGACAAAGAAAACGAGACATTATTATTATCTGACTGACAGATATATTTTAGTGCTACTATACCATTTTTTTCTCTTTACAATTCTGCGGTAGCTACATAAGATCTGGAATTTGGTTCTATCCTTCGGACATTGCTTGCTTTAATGACATATTCATTCTTTAGGTGATGGGGAGCAAGACAAAGATATACATTGTTTTGGAATACGTGACAGGAGGGGAGCTTTTTGACAGGATTGTAAGTCTCTCTGATTATTATTCAGTTGTTATCTTGTATTTTGGTGTTTTGTACTTGATACTCAGGAATATGATTCATTAACTGGAGGTCGATTCATTGCGTAATTTTATGTATCAGTTGAAATTTAATTTCACATAAGAAATTGCGGTTACTTGGAGATCCTAAATTTTTTGGATCTGTTGTCTTACCTTAGGTTGTATTATAACTAAAGATTTAAATTGGTATTGATTATTTAAGGTGCACCATGGACGAATGATGGAAGATGAAGCAAGGAAGTATTTTCAGCAGCTGATAAATGCTGTGGACTATTGTCATAGCAGGGGTGTTTACCATAGAGATCTGAAGGTATGATGTATATACTTGGAAAATTGCTGGAATAATGAAAAGCATTGCCTGAATGCACAATATAAACTGAAGACACTCTGCTCATTAGTTCAAAATTTTGAATTTTGTGATTAAGTTATAGTGGTCAAGGCCTTAAGGAATCAAGGGTATAAAATTATTTTGCTGAGAAAAAAACATAAAGAACATTTCCAATATATCAGGAAATATTTGATGAAATGATATTTATGTCACAAATAACCACCACACCCCCTTTATATTCATGGTGTCGTCTTTCTAAATCAGCCATACAAGCCCAGTAGAAAGGCCTTGATTCACCACCCATTCTGTGCTAGAACCCACCATGTTCATTGTGTCTACCACCGCGTCCCCGAATCAAGTCATACTTTTTCCTCCCTCTTGTTCTTAGTACTTGGAGCCTCTCTCTCTCTCTCTCTCTCTCTCTCTCTCTCTCTCTCTCTCATTAATCTTGTTTTTAAGCAGACTAAAGGAGTATGGGAGTAAAAAGGGAAGAAGGGGAGAGGGGAGAGGTGTGAGGAATCCAAATTGTGGATGTGAAGAGAGAAAAAGAGGGATACTGGTTGTGTGACGGCGAGTGGAAGATTTGGAGATGGTTGTGTTGGAAGGATGGTAGTGATTGGTGTTGTGGTGGCTAGTATCTTCAGATTCCAATGAGAGTGAGATACAGAAGGATGTGAGTCAATGTGACATAAAGTTGTGGGGGTTTGGAGGGATATTAAATTGCTGTGTTGTGTTGTGAGCATAGTAGCACTGTTGACTGGTATAGAGCACAAACAAGTCAGAAATTTGGACTAAGTTACTGATACAGGCAAAATTTTGGAATATATATTTCGCCAATTATTTTCATATTTAAAATCAATTCTATACCCTTTAATATCATTGTTTTCTTGAAATTTGAATCTTTGTGTGTTTGTTTTTACAGCCAGAAAATTTGTTGTTAGATTCAGGTGGGAATCTCAAAGTTTCTGACTTTGGCTTAAGTGCAATTTCTCAGCAACAAGTCCAGGTAGTCATATCTATTGTTAAATTTATGAATTTATAATTCCACGAATTTTGAGGTCATAAGTTACCTTATACTTAAGAGTGCCGTTGAGAGGTGATTTGCTTTAGATCACTGGTATTAGTTCCATAACATAAGGATTTTATTGTAATTGAGTTGGTCGTTTCCGTGCTCCATCTAGTTAGCTAAATTATGATCAGCTCCTGTATTTTGTGCACCTGCTTCACAATATATTGTTAAATCTGAGAAAGCTCTGTTTTCCTAGTCCATAAAGGCTTTAAAAAAGTTATGTTATTCCAAAGTAACACAGGATACAATGGCTCCAGTAAACTGCGTTCAATCCAATCCATGCTCCACTGGATTGTATAATCACCCCATCCACACTCTAGAATACTCCACTTGCTTCATCTAGATGTGAGCTCCTCTACCTCTTGCCCTCTCAGTCATGGGGAAGTCTCCAAGTGTAAGTCAATTGCATTTTTATACCCACCGTTTGTCCCTTACCATGCCAATTTCACTGTAGGCCAGTCTAGCGTTAATTAGTAGACTAACATTCAATGATTTCTGTAAGACCATTCTATTGATAGCCCTCTTAAAACAGTCTTTTTGAGCAACTATTATGATCTGTTATAGTCTGCTACAATAATTATCACTGTACTTCTATATTTTTTGCTTTCAAGTTTCAATTGAGTACTATCCTACAATGAACACAATACTATCCTACAAGTCACATTCCACAAGTATGAAATAATTAGAAGGGTATTTCATACTTCATTCTAGGCAAAAGCTTTGATGTTCATGGATCAAGAGCAATAGTCATCTGACAACACCATAGTCAAGACTTGACAAGTCAAATGGTATTTAAGAATTGACAACCAAATAATCTGCAAGAAAACTATTTGAAGGAGTTCTCCTGCTCACACCCTTCTCTCTCTCTCTCTCTCTCTCTCTCTCTCTCTCTCTCTTTTTTTTTTTTTTTTTTTTTTTTTTTTTTTTTTTTTTTTTTGACGGATGTTCTCTTCCTTCGTGAATCCCTTTTCTCAGTATAAGATTGTGGTCATTGATGGGTCTGCTCTTTGGTAGCTTCTTTAACAAAGTATTTCTCTTCCTTAGTGAATCCTTTGACGACCTTTATTGGCCTATAGCTCATCCAATATCAAACATAGAACACAAAGAATAACATTCAAGACACTAGCGTTATCTTTGAGATTCCAATCTCTTAAAAGGTTTCTTATGCTTTAATGCCTGTCTTTGATGAGAGCTTTGACACATACAAGCAGGATGCTGGGTGTGGATCATGCCTGCATGGCACCACTTCTTAAAGGAAAAGTCCATATGACTAAGAAAAAACCTCACTCTTAAACTTGTGAAAAAATGTGGGAAAGACTTAACTCTCATTTGTATAGGACTAAAGAATAAAGAGAGAAAAAAGTGAGCCACCGCCTGATGGTTACTAGAACTTGTGGTGTGCGAAAATTTGGGCTGATAGCCTCTATCTTCTTTATGGCTTAGTGCTGAATGCTTACAAAAAACATTCCTTAGATTTAGGTCATCATGATCCAGCCCAAAAAATTCACAGTGATTGATGATTGGATGGATGGCCTCAAGCCCCCCTTGCTATCTGAGGGAGAATTTTTAAGACTGAATTATGGTGAATTGTTTTCGTCTGACGGTAAATATTAAGAAATAGGATTCCTTTTAATTCTTAGGAAACCCGTCTTGCAATTCATAGTATATATGGATTGTTTGGACTTTGCACAAGGTTGTCTAAGTGTCTAACTACTGCAGGTTCAGCTGATATTTAACATACTAACTTCCATTTAGCCAATCATCTGCTAGGATTTTGGGTATAGTTCCAGTTCCTACCAATTTGCTGGTATAAGATTCACCACTGATTCGGTATAGGTTTGCAATTTGCTACCTAATTTACCAGTTCACCTTTTCAGTTTGTGGTTTTTTAAGAAGGGAAAAAGAGAGAGAGAGAGAGAGAGAGAGCGAGAGAGAGGGGGGGGGGTAGGGTATAGAAAACCAAACCCATTTATGTTACAATTTTCTTGGAAATCTTATTGTGTCATTTGCTATGTCATGATCGTTTCTGGTTTTTGGGGGGAATAAGGTGTAAAAAAACTAGACCCCATTTCAATTTTCTTGGCAATCTTATTGTGTCGTTTACTAAGCCATGATCACATTATCCTCTAGTCTTCAAGATAATTGTATATACACTCTCTCTCTCTCTCTCTCTCTCTCTCTCTCTAGCACACACGTGCGCACACACACACACACACACAATGTACGTATTTTGCGCATCACATTTCAGTTAAACAAAGTTGCACATTTGGTTTAAACATTATGAACGATAAATTTGTCTCGTCCTCTTCATTTTATAAGGTCTTTCTCATTTTACCTTAATATCTGCAAAATAGGAATAAGGAACCTAAAATCCATCGTAATCATTTTCAGAAATCAGTTTTGATCAATAAATACTAGTAACTTCATTTAACAATAATAATAGTGAATCAGTAAATACCAGTTTCAACCAGTAAAAATCAGTCTTGCTCAGTAAAAATCCACAGTAGTAACTACATTTAAAATCATTTTTGGCCAGTAGAACTCAGGTTTAGTAATTATCGGTTTAACTCATTATGATAATTTCAGTGTAGTGATTATCTGGCAAAGAGAACAAGACCTAAGTAACCTAAGGATAAAGTGTCTGTATGCTGAACTATTCTGGATGCTGACTTAAAGCCCAGGCATGGGATAGTGAGCTGCTAGACTAAACGCTGTTGGATTAATGTAGTAGTGGGTCAGGGAGTGATTTATTCGAGGCCAATTGTTCTGACTTTTGGAAAATTTATTTGCATTTCTCTTGTATTGCAGAGTTGTGATGGTATATAATTAATTAAAAGAAGTAAACACGACAGCAATTTACTGATTAGGGGTATAAAACATGTAAAATATTGACGTAAACAATTAATGATCTTTGATTTCCAGGGCGATGGACTTCTTCATACAACCTGTGGAACTCCAAACTATGTTGCTCCAGAGGTGACTTTTCTATCGTGCCAACTTGCTATTTTGTGCTTGCATATTTGTTCATTTTTTGTTGTAGCTAACGGCCTTATCTCTAATCCTATGAATAATAGGTCCTTAATGACCTAGGGTATGATGGGGCAACAGCAGATGTGTGGTCTTGTGGTGTTATTTTATTTGTATTGCTCGCAGGTTACTTGCCTTTTGATGATTCTAATCTTATGAACCTATATAACAAAGTGAGCAAGTTTTTGAAATTATATTTTATTGCTCTTCCATGTTGTTCCTAGTCTGCATCTTGATTTTTTGTCTCAATATGCAGATCTCAGTAGCTGAATTTACCTGCCCCCCTTGGATGTCTTTTAGTATGAGGAAATTTATTACGCGGATCTTGGATCCCAATCCCATGACAGTGAGCTCCATTGCTTTATAAATCCTCATTAAACATATGAACTTTGTTTTCTTTGAGTGTCTTCTTTGAGATTAGTGAAACGTTAATGTGTGTTAAACTTTCTTTTGTAAGAATCCCAATCCTGTGACAGTGAGATTATCTTTATGATACATTTTGTTTTGATGTATCGTGCTCACTCAATTTATAGTGACTTGAAGCATTTTATTTACACTTGGCAGCGCATAACTATCCCAGAAATTCTAGAAGATGAGTGGTTCAAAGTAGATTATAAACCTCCTGTTTTTGATGATGAAGATGATACTAGCTTGGATGATGTAGATGCAGTTTTCCAGGATGCAGAAGTAAGTTTAGTGATTAAATAGAATCTAGACTTTGTTCATGGTAATATATGGCTTGTACTGATATGTTACTTTTTCTTCTCAACAGGAACATCATGTGACTGAGAAGAGAGAAAAGCCAACTGCCATGAACGCATTTGATTTGATTAACATGTCTAAAGGGCTAAACCTAGGAAGTCTTTTTGATACAGATCAGGTTTTCCTTTCTCTTGTTTTGTCCATCTTTTAGATATAGATTTGAATATTAGACATCTGATTTGTCAAAAGGGACGATACTTCAATCATATGCAGATTATCATTCTTTTGTAGACAAAATGCTATTTTCTTTCTGTGTGAGGGTTGTAGGGGTAGACAAGGAAGAGAATGTAAAAAATTCATCAATTCATTCTTGAATATGCCAGTATCACAGTATGCCCTATGGGATATTATATTTTATGCCTCGAATGCAGGAACGGGCTTCAATTTAAAATTTTAATTGCTTTAGTCAAAACTACTGGTTCAATTGTTTTGTATGCTTTCCCGCATTACACTTTGCGTGCAGTTGGAGTCCCTTGGAGATGCTTGTCTTCACTTGCAGATTGAGGGGTTCCTTGCCACACAATGCTTAATTTTCTGTCCTCAACCAGGTTTTTAAAAGAGAAACAAGATTCACATCTCGTAGCCCTGCCAGTGAAATAATTAAAAAGATAGAAGAAGCTGCAAAACCTCTTGGTTTTGATGTGCACAAGAAAAATTACAAGGTAAACAATGTGCAACATTTAAGCCTTTATATTTCTGACAGATGTAGGGGTTGATACTAGCAGAACTGAAGTGAATGTGGGTCACCAGAACTTTTATTTGACACTAGTTTACTTGTCTATTTTAGATGAGGCTTGAAAATATGAAAGCTGGTCGGAAGGGAAACCTCAATGTCGCTACAGAGGTAGTGAAAATGGAAACTGAGTATGCTGACTTGAGAAAAACCTCTGTATGATAATCTCATTTATACGTCTTCTTTGTTATAGGTACTGCAAGTTGCCCCATCCCTTCATCTGGTGGAGCTTAGAAAAGCAAAGGGAGATACCTTGGAATTTCACAAGGTTTGTTTTTTTGTTCTATTGATTTTGCCTGTCCAATCAGATTTAGTTGTCATTTTGTCTCAAATGCTCATAATTGAGGATATAGAGCAGAACTAGTCTCATGAAGGGCGAAAGACGAATGGAATAAAAAAAGAGAGGGAGGGAAGGGGAATTGGGGAAGGTGGGGGAAAAAGTGAAAAAGTTATGCAATAGGGGAGATAACCAAAAAAAAAAAAGGGTAAGAAAAAACAACTATCAATGATCTTCATTGTATCTTTCATTTTTTTGAAAAATTAGAAGATATTAGAAGCCGGGTGTCCTTTTGGGTTTGTGATTTTATAGACTAGGCATAGATTATACTCGAATACTCTATATAATAGCTGTGCTGTTTAAATTTCTCACCATTCATGTAAAGTTGCATAGATATTTTAGTTTGATAGGGAATAGACAAAATATTCTGATTGAAGGTTTAGGATAATTTTTATGCTATGAGAGTTATAATTATATTAGGAAATCTTGCGATGTATGTAAAGACACTTTCTTAGGAGTGTATTTTGTGTATATTCTCACATTTTCAGTATATTTTGTGTATATTCTTGGTAAGTTGTCTTAAAATTCAATATTAGATTATTATCATTTTAGGATAATGGCAACATTAACATTTTAATATTTTTTAATAGTATATGTGATTAATTATTCTGGGTAGAGGGTATTAAAAAAAAAAATCTTATTTGTAGCATCATGAAACTGTAAGTGTACTTGCAAAAGATCACTAGTGTCTGGCCTGATCTGTTGGTTTACTTGTTCATCATTATCATCTTTTTGCAGTTCTATAAAAAACTTTCTAGCTCATTAGAGGACGTAGTTTGGAAAACGGAAGAAGACATGCAAAAATCGGACTAGAAGTGAATACTATCGTGCTCAAGTCTGGCCAAGATCAATCTATTACCATTATGGTTATTGTTGAGACTTTGACTTTTCTTCTATTAGCTCCCCCTTCTGTGTTGATTAATTTTGGCAGTTTTGCATGGTTGAGTTCGTGGTGTTCTGTTTACTGTATCAAGTACTAGTGAATTAAACCATTGTACAGTTTGTATGACTCAGCCTTGACATACATGTATTGTCGAGGTTGACACCATCAGTGTGTCATTGTATCAAGAAGCAGAATAAATAAAATTATTGCTTCCTCCATCATCTTTTAAAGGACCCGTTCTTATATTGTATTCATGTAATCTACTTAGACTATCTTTGTATTTCTCCTTTGGAAAATAATAATAATAATAATAATAATAATAATAATAATAATAATAATAATAATAATAATAATAATAATAAACATAGGATCAGGAGATCTGTTTCATATTACTCGCAACAATTACTAAATATGGGTGTTTCACATTACTCGCAACAAGTTATTTTTTTTTCTTTTTTAGTAAGTTTTTAAGGGTGAATTGTCTATATTGCCCTTACTTATTTTGATTAATTTGTTTTAACATAAATTAAACAAATTTACTTAAAACTAAATCTAATCAATTAACTCTAACCATTCCTACCAAAATAATCCCCCTTCTCCTTATTTCATCAGAGATCATTCATCTCCCCAACTAACTCATTCATTGCTTCTCATTCAATTCGTCTTGATTATGCTGCCAGTTTGAACAATTTGTGAGGAATTCTCCAGAATTCCTTTATAAACCCTAGATCTACCTTCATAGTTCGTTTTCTCTCTCCTCTACACTCTTTCGTCTCTCCCTGATTCTCTCTCTGAAACCTAAAATTTTTGCAAATGAGTTCCCCTCCAAATGAGAACGATTCTCTTGCCCAGAAGAAGGGGGATACTGACCCTCCCTTCTCACTGTACACATGGCGAGGAACTAGAGTCATGAAACCAGTTCAACGCTGCTCTCTAGTGTTCTCCAGATATCTTCGAGGGAAAATTGGGGCTAAAATTGGCCCTAATACTGGAAGTGAGGACGAAGATGATGTTGTGCAGGTAGATCCACCTAAACTTAAGGTTGTTGAAGCTGAACCTGGTTCAGTAGTAGGGGCTGCTAGTCCTTTAGCTTTGACAGAAGAGGCAACTGAGGACCCAAATCTGGTGGTGGAGGTTAGGAGTGAGCCTGTTGTTGCTGTCGTTGAGGTCCCTGAGTCCCCTGACCCCGTAGCCGTTGTTTTTTCCGACTCCTTGAAGGCTACCGCTGCTTCTAGATCTTCCAGAGGCAAGAAAAGGGTCTGATCCGTGTTAACGGAGGACTGCAGCGACTGGGACCCTGCTTATATGGCTTATTTGAGGGAGAAGTACCCTCATGACTTCCCCCCAGTAATTGGCCTTGCAGCGTAACGATTCATATCTAAATATTCTTTATTTTTAACTAATTAACCTATGTTTCTCTGAAAATGGTTTTGGTTTGATTGATATGTTGAAAAATCTTGTTGAATATGTGAGTATGTTGTATTTGGCTGTATTTTGGGTTACTGTTGCTTGTGTTATGCTCTATGCTGGTTCATTTTTCTGCCTTTGATGTTGGTGTTGGTGCTTGCACATTAATTGTCATGCTGTTGTTGTTGTCCTCTGTGTTGGTAGTGACTTTGATTTTCTTTTAGTTGCTGTTGTTGGTGTTGTCTGCTCTGAGTGACTCCTTTTGGTGTTGTGGTGGTATCATGTTGAATTGAAGTTGGGTTTTCCAGTTATGTTAATGAATAAGTAGTTGATACATGTTGGTTTCCCTGTCATGGATTATTGAGTCCTTCAGTCCTTGTGTTTTGGTTGCTTATTCTTGGTGCAATGAATCCCTCCTAAAACATGCATCATAACAATATTGTTCTGTCCAAATGATGAAGGGACTCATCTGATAGCACTTCCTATCAAGGGATGGCTCCAACTCCTTAGTTTTAAGGTTGTTGTTGAGGTACCCTTGGTAGGGAGGTTGCCATGTTTAAAACACTCCTATCTGATGGACATTCCTCCCTACTTAGTTTGTTATTGGCACAAGCTAATGTGTTAAAAGGTCGTGTTAAGACTGATACAAGCATATGTGTTAATAGGGTTGTTTCATATTCAAAATATGGACAATTTACATCATTCCTTTGTCATATACTCTACACTACAATGATTGCCTTAATAATGTTCCTATCCTATTTACCAAAAGACACATAACCAATACAAAAACAAGAAAAAAAACAATAAGTTAAAGTGTTACTGGTTATGTGTGGCAATTAATGGAGTTGTATAGCCGGTAGTTGTTGCATCTTCAAAACCAAAATTATCTGTTCTGCATCACCTAATCAAAAAATTGCATCTTCATCTTCATCTTGAACTTCAAAATGTTGTGCACATCATACTTGGACCATTAATCTGCATCCACTTCCATCTCAATTGTTTGTTCCTCAATTCCTGTTGTAGGAATGAAAAGAGTGTTGAGGTAGTTCACAGTCTCTATGATGAGGTCCTCCTGGAGAGTCCCTTCTATGTCTTGTCTTTGTTTTGCCATATGTGGGGGGTTGAAATTATTTCCCCCTCTTTTTTCCAATATCTTTATTATGCATGACTGAAGAGTGATCCATGAGTACTTATTGAGTGTTGGATTAAACACATCAAATGCCTCTGCAACCTTTTGCAAAAGTTCATCCAAATTCTTTGGGAATGATTGATACTGTATTGATTGTATAACCCTGAAAAGACCAAGATCCAATACATTTAGGTTAGGGGATTGAGAAGGTTGAAACACAAATTGGATATTAAATCCATTTTCTTGTGTTGCAGCCAAAAATTCCTCATCACTGGGAATTTGATGAGGCCTAGCATTGTCCCACTATATGATTATGTTCTTGGATAATTGTGCTGGCCATTGTGCATGTATTGTTGGAATGATGTGCTGCAATATCATATCTCTTATAGCTTGTTTGTTGATACTTTGAATTGCTTTTGTTTCCATTGTTCCTGCATCTCTGGTTTTGCTTTTCTTCTTGGTCATCTCATACTTAACAAATGGGAACAGCCCATATTTCCCCGAGTGAATGAGTGTACCATTCTCATCATAAAGTGGCTTACCAATCATTCCCATAAACATGGCCTTTAACTTGAACCTCTTTTAGTGTTGTGCTCTATATGGTGTTTCTTCATTTGGTGTGAGGTAGAATGTCCTAGTCTCTGGATTCAAATAAAACCACTTCTCATCAATGTGGATGTAATGCTACAAATCCATAAAACTAGGGTCACCCTCACTAGGCAGGGGGTTCACATGATTAAGGACCCATTTCAGCCTTGCCACTTTGGAATTATCACTTAGTGCAGTGATTTGTTGTTGTCACTGCCCTAAGTCTTCCTCTTTTTTTTTAACCTATGTATTACAACATGTGGAACCTTCAATGCTGCAGCATAACTCCTATTTGTGGTTCTCTTGTACATTGGGACATACATTAGCCACTCATCTGAGTATTGTTTAGGCTTGGGTCCTGTCTTCCCTAACTTCTTGCTCCTTATATTGACTAAATTGCCTAACTGAATCTGTTCTTTGATTTCTTTGAACCACCTACTTGTAGTTGATCTGAGTACTTGGTGCTTGATTGCTAATGATGTTAGCATGCCTCTTGGAAGTGAATCCCCTTCCATATTGAGCAATATGTCATCTACTATCTGCCTTTTTTCTTCAATGTTGAGTTCTCTGCTCTGCCTGCCATTCAATGCATTTTCATGTTCTTCTTCTGATTCTGATTGTGATTCCCCAACATCACTGGCTTCATTGTTTTGTTGTTGATTAGATTCGTTTGAATCTGACCCTAATAGTGTGCTACTGTTTTGTGATGCCATATCTATGTTGTTGATCTTAAGTTTTGATGATGACTCAAGGAACCTAAGAAAACCCATAGGGGCTTTAACTTTTGTCTATTAGCTTTGATGTGTTGACAGGTTTTATATGCAACGAAGTTCTAGAGTTAGAATGGAGCATGGAACAAGTCTAAAGGATGAGCTATGGACGAGCATAGAAGACAATCAGAAGCCAAGTTCCTTGAGTGAGGAACTGAAGCTCCAGAGTCGAAACTTCACTGTGTTCCAAGGAGTCTATTGTATCTTTATTATTTATTTTAGGCTTCTTGTATATATGTTAAGTACATTGTTAATTGATAGGATTTAAGTGGATTTAATTTCAGTTTATAAAGATTTTATTTTTCCTTTCTTTAACAAAGATTTAATTTTATTTCGGAAAAATATCTTTTAAGTAAAATTTCTTATTTTTTAAAAGATTTTATGTTCTGATTTTATCCTAACATTTTGGAAAATCTGACTTGGTAAAACTATTTTTCAAACGGCTTTTACTTGGTAAAGGAGGTTGAGAAAATATAGGAACCACTTCCTTGCTGTGCGCTTCAGCTTGTTGCCCAAGCATCCACGAACAACACTTCCTTATTTCATGGAAGTTGTGGTATAGTGGGAGCTAAGGAAAACGTAAGGTTTTCAACTGCTTTCCTCCTGTATAAATAGGATTAGTTTTCTGTTTTGAAAAGAACACTTGAGCATTACGATTCTTAGCTTTCCTAAAAGAGTCAAAAATCCACTTAAGTCCTTGAGTGTCTTTGTACTTAGCATCTTAGTAGTTTTATATTGAGTTGTATTGGGGTAGAGTTTGGGTAAACTCTAGAGTGTGAAATTGCTTTGAGTGAAGCAAGGAGAAAGAGAGAGATTCGAGAGCTCAACTAATTGAGGGATCAGTTGAGGGGGAACTTAAGTTCGTAGAGGAACTTGAGTTTAGAAGTCTTAATTTGTAATAGGTTGTTTGCCCTATTATTATTAAGAGTTGTGATTAAAATCCCTTGTGGTCGTGGTTTTTCTTCTTGATTAGGGCCAAGAAGTTTTCCACGTAAAATCTCTCTTGCACTTTAAAGTTTTGTTTAAGTTTCTTTAA